CTCGTCATCCTGTCAGGAATAGTTGTCGTCATCCTGTCAGGAATAGTTGTCGTCATCCTGTCAGGAATAGTTGTCGTCATCCTGTCAGGAATGGTTGTCGTCATCCTGTCAGGAATGGTTGTCGTCATCCTGTCAGGAATGGTTGTCGTCATCCTGTCAGGAATGGTTGTCGTCATCCTGTCAGGAATGGTTGTCGTCATCCTGTCAGGAATGGTTGTCACCATCCTGTCAGGAATGGTTGTCACCATCCTGTCAGGAATGGTTGTCACCATCCTGTCAGGAATGGTTGTCACCATCCTGTCAGGAATGGTTGTCACCATCCTGTCAGGAATGGTTGTCACCATCCTGTCAGGAATGGTTGTCACCATCCTGTCAGGAATGGTTGTCACCATCCTGTCAGGAATGGTTGTCATCATCTTGTTAGGAATGTGTGACATCATTCTGTCAGTAATAGTTGTCATCATCTTGTTAGGAATGTGTGGCATCATCCTGTCAGGAATGGTTGTCATCATCTTGTTAGGAATGTGTGACATCATTCTGTCAGGAATGGGTGACATCATTCTTTCAGGAATTGGTGACATCATCTTGTCACGAATGGGTGCCATCATCTTGTTAGGAATGGGTGACATCATTCTGTCAGGAATGGGTGCCATCATCTTGTTAGGAATGGGTGTCATCATCCTGTCAGGAATGGGTTCCATCATCTTGTCAGGAATGGGTGCCGTCATCTTGTTAGGAATGGGTGACATCATCCTGTCAGGAAATGATGCCATCGTCTTGTTAGGAATGGGTGACATCATCCTGTCAGGAATGGGTGCCATCATCTTGTCAGGAATGGGTGCCATCATCTTGTTAGGAATGGGTGTCATCATCCTGTCAGGAATGGGTTCCATCATCTTGTTAGGAATGGGTGACATCATCCTGTCAGGAAATGATGCCATCGTCTTGTTAGGAATGGGTGACATCATCGTGTCAGGAAATGATGCCATCGTCTTGTTAGGAATGGGTGACATCATCCTGTCAGGAATGGGTGCCATCATTTTGTCAGGAATGGTTGTCATCATCTTGTTAGGAATGGGTGTCATCATCCTGTCAGGAATGGGTTCCATCATCTTGTCAGGAATGGGTGCCATCATCTTGTTAGGAATGGGTGACATCATCCTGTCAGGAAATGATGCCATCGTCTTGTTAAGAATGGGTGACACCATCCTGTCAGGAATGGGTGCCATCATCTTGTCAGGAATGGGTGCCATCATCTTGTTAGGAATGGGTGACATCATCCTGTCAGGAAATGATGCCATCGTCTTGTTAGGAATGGGTGACATCATCCTGTCAGGAATGGGTGCCATCATCTTGTCAGGAATGGTTGTCATCATCTTGTTAGGAATGTGTGACATCATTCTGTCAGGAATGGGTGACATCATTCTTTCAGGAATTGGTGACATCATCTTGTCACGAATGGGTGCCATCATCTTGTCAGGAATGGGTGCCATCATCTTGTTAGGAATGGGTGACATCATCCTGTCAGGAAATGATGCCATCGTCTTGTTAGGAATGGGTGACATCATCCTGTCAGGAATGGGTGCCATCATCTTGTCAGGAATGGTTGTCATCATCTTGTTAGGAATGTGTGACATCATTCTGTCAGGAATGGGTGACATCATTCTTTCAGGAATTGGTGACATCATCTTGTCACGAATGGGTGCCATCATCTTGTCACGAATGGGTGCCATCATCTTGTTAGGAATGGGTGACATCATTCTGTCAGGAATGGGTGCCATCATCTTGTTAGGAATGGGTGTCATCATCCTGTCAGGAATGGGTTCCATCATCCTGTCAGGAATGGGTGCCATCATCTTGTCAGGAATGGGTGCCATCATCTTGTTAGGAATGGGTGACATCATCCTGTCAGGAAAGGATGCCATCGTCTTGTTAGGAATGGGTGACATCATCTTGTTAGGAATGGGTGCCATCATCTTGTCAGGAATGGGTGCCATCATCTTGTTAGGAATGGGTGACATCATTCTCTCAGAAATGTATTCACAACATTTTTTGAATTATGTCTTTCTGTTAATTGTTACGTTGATTATATTTCTCATTACAGAAGCTGAAGACATTATAGATTTTTTTGAAACAATCAACAATATTGAAATACAAGGAATCACATCAAGTAGAAGACAAACAATGTCAGGAAGAGAAAGATTAAAATCATACTCTCGAAGACATCAGAACCCACACAAAAATGAGAAGCTTCTCAAGAAAGATGCATTAGAAAGAACTCTTAAGGTAAAGAGGTAGCATTGTTTGTATTGTGTCAGATGATGTGTCATACTTTGGTATGTCCAATTTATTGTGTCAGGTGATGTGTCATACTTTGGTATGTCCAAT